GAGTCTGTCCGCCCGCCCGGCCGCCCGCCGCTTCTGCCGCGGAGCACGGCTCCGAGACAGCATCGCACTGGCGGGCAGCCCGACACTGTTAATTTTTTCCCTGTTTCTCATATATGTGACACCCGGGACGAATGGGTTAAGGCATGTGGACGTAAACCTAAGATAACGCCACAGAGGGATGGAAGCCTCCTTGTGGAGGTGACATCCCAGTAAGAAGCCGCAGGCTTTAGTGCCTTATCTGGCGTGCCTGGTGCAAAGGTGTCATGCAAACTGCATGCCACCCTCAACCAGTCCAAAGGGGTGGTTTTCTGCAGAGACCTCTTCTGATATTCGGAAGAAAAGCTCCTCCAGGAAATGGCTGATGAGGGAGTTACAGAAGTACACTGCATTTTGAAGAAGATTGACTGTGTGCTAACACCAACACTGTCCCTCCTTCTGACATTCAAGAGCCTAGTTTTGCCTCCTGCTGTACATTGTGCTTTATACAACTTGCCTGTTAAAACATACATACCCAATCCTCGCTGTTGCTTCCACTGTAAGAGTTTTGGACATTTAACACAATCATGCTGACGACTCCAGAAGGGCCTTCCTGCCGTGTGTGTCTCATGCAGTGGAAGTCATTTGGAAGACTGCCCTGGCCCTTTGAAGTGCTTCTATTGTTGTGGAGCTCATCCAGTATCTTCACATGCATGCCATAAATATAAATTTGAAAAATAGATTCTCCTAATACACACTCAAGAAAGGGTGTCTTTTCCCAAGGCAAAGAAACTTGCCCTGACACGACTCCTCTAACCAGGAGTAACATTTGCCTAGTTGTTAGTAAATCTCTTTGATGACCAACAATGATCCCAGCTGCTTCACAACTGCCAATACCCGCTCAGCCTATCCAACAAGAATCTGTGAGAGAGATCTCTGTTAGTACCCAGCAGAAGCATTCTCACAGTGAGGACTCAGGAAGAGAGCCCTCTAAACAAAACCCAACCTCCTCAGTGCTCTACTGAGTTAGTAGAGGCTGAAGAAATGACAAATGATTCTACCATGTCCCATGAGATTCCAACTACCGAAACTGAGGTTGCAGGTAGAACTCGGACAAAACTTGTCTTACCCCTCTCAACATAAAGCTATAACAAAGATAATGAGCACTTCAGCAGGGAGGAGTGATGACTCTCCTCACATTATTGCTTGTGACACTAGTAAGCCTGGAACATCTGCCACTAGTAAGCCTGAAACATCTTCAAAATTTTAAGTAAAAATCCCAATAACTAGCCTCTCAGACAAAAAAGGAGCTGTAGGTGCTAAGAAGACCCTTTCTAAGGGCCTTCAGGAGCCCCATATAAAATAATAACCTTCTCAATCCTGCATTGGGATTGTCGTGGGTTACATGCCTCCTGGAAGGAACTGTGCAGTACTGCTGCTTGCTTCTCTCCTGCATGTATTTGCCTGCAAAAGACAGTGGTTGGGGATGCTACCCCACAAGGTCCTCATGGTTATCATGCAATTTACTCTGGCCCTTTTCCTGGACAGGGTCATTATGGTGACACTACCATCCTATTACGCAATGATGTGAACTTCTCATGTCATAGAATTAATACTCCACTACAAGCAATTACTGTAAAAGTGTTGCTCCATAGACAATACACATTATGTAATGTCTACATCTCTCCCAGTATTCCAGTTGAGAGGGGTGATCTTGACCATCTTGTAAACATCTTGTAAATAATCTTACTCTTCTACTTGGTGATATGAATGGACTTCACCCTCTGTGGGGTGACTGCACTACCAATACACGAGATGTCTTACTCTCATCCATAGAAGAGGATAAGGAATTAGGAATCTTAAATTCTGGTGAAATGAAATAATTCCACATCCAAACAGGTACTTCTACACCCATTGATGTCTCCTTTGGCTCCCCCAATGATATTCTAGACTTTAATTGGAGGGTAATACTAGATTTATATGGAAGTGACCATTTCCCTATTATTACAACATCTGAGAAAAGTGCACCACAAACTCGCCTTCTGCGGTGGCGCCTAGATAAAGCAGATTGGCAACTTTTCACACAGCTTTGTTCTACAGACCATTCTGTTGAAGAATTTGATAGCTTGGATGAGGTGGCAATATATATTACAGATGTGTTACATTTAGTTGCTCGATTATCCATCCCAAAAACATCAGGCCATTTTCCCAGACATCCTGTCCCCTGGTGGACCCCTGAGTGTGCATCAGCCGTGAAGGCCAAATGAGATGCCTTCTCCTGCCTTTGCAGAAATTGGGGAAATCTTTGCTGTATGGAGGAATTCTGAAAGGCTAGGGCTCATGCACAGCAAGTCTTGAAGGAGACAAGGTGGGCGTTATGGAAGACATATGTTTCAACCATTACCTCAAAGACTTCTCTAACCTAAGTTTGGAACAGTAAGGAAAATATCAGGGAAATTTGCTTTTCCTCTCCCCACGGTAATATCATGCAAGGGTGTCATGGTGATTAACCCTGCAGAAGTTGTGGAAATCTTAGCAGATCATTTTGCTAGTGCTTGAAAACAAGACCAAACTTTGTCTTTTGCAAACAACCATTGTTATTCAGAATCTTGTGATATAGATTTTACGTCTCCTGGGGATGAAGCTTACATTATCCCTTTCTCTATATACGAGGTTCAAATGGCATTAAAGCAATGTCACGACTCATCACCAGGGCATGATGATATACCATATGCCTTCATATGCCACTTATCCCAGCAAACACTTTTGTTTTTAACATTATTGTATAACAAGATTTGACAGACAGGTGAATTTCCTGCCACATGGGGTGTAGCGGTGGTTATACCCATTACAAAACCAGGTAAAGATCCATCTCTCCCTACAAATTATCATCCCATCTCTCTGACATCCTGTATTTGTAAGACATTAGAAAAGATGGTAAACATTTGCCTTATGTGGTACTTAGAAAAAAGCAATTATATAACT